ATATCTCACGAGGGAAATAGCACGCAGATTTGCAGTATCCCAATCCTGAGTCGTAGTCATGTTGCAGTGGTACAACAGCACGAATAATTTAGCTGAGTGAGTTCGCAGTGGTCATATTGATGGCAGCCCGTGACCCTACAATCAACGCCATTACAATAAAAACAGAAGTTGGGCCGCCTCTGGACTTCAAGTTAGCACTCAGACCATTCGGATTTGCTTACACTAAGCTGGACTACGAGTACGGAAGCCTTGGCGAGCATATCTGAATTCACGGCAACGTCAGCTACGGAGATTGCAGTGGGTTAGGCTCCGGCAAAATGAAGATGAGGAGGAAAACATTTGGCAAAACTGTCCCTTCTGCATATCGAGACCAACGAGTCAGTGCTGCTCTCCGAGAATATGACATCACAATATTGGACCGACCTGACGGCTCTCCTGACTTAAACCCAATAGAGCAAGTGTGGGATGCTCTTAAGCGAGCTGCTTGCAAACGTCAGTTACCACCCCAGGCAGTGCCAGAGATCAGGGAAGGTGCTATTTAAGAGTGGGACAGGTTACCGCCAAAAATGCTGTATTACTCGATCCTCAGCTTGCTCAGGAGGATCTCCACATGTGTTCGAGCCGGGGAACTAGTTCAATAAAAACCTTCTATTAATAAATTGTTGTATAAGTTTTAAATTGTTGTTAATTTAGTTAAACAATCTTTTTCTTTCCATCAAATTTCTATTATAATTACATTAGGATTGAATTACTCAATTAAAAAAAAAAGATTCATTATCTTAATCAGTGTATTTCTATGTAATAAAGGTTATAACGTAAACAATTTTTCTTGATAAAGTAACATTTTAAAAATATGTTAGCTATTACAAGTCATCACAAACTTTTTTGATATGTCTATCTTTATTTGGACAGGTTTTTACACATAGTTCATATATTTTTACTATTATTTGAAATATAACCTTTCGGGATCGAATATTTTGCTATCATTTATTAAAACTGCTCTAAATACGGCTATCCGTTATCGTTTTAATATACCTATATACTGCATACTAGACCCAATCAGTGTTTCATAAATTAAGCGCTTAATTTGGCAACCGCCGTCGCTGATTGCAATGTTCGTGACCGTAAAATTCCTAGTTCTTGCAGCGTTACATCCGAATCGTTTCACGACACGTTACACTGCATACTTTTGATTTCCAGTACAATTCTGTTTAATAAAATAATTGTCCGTCAAATAAGTTGTGAACTGAATTAATTATTAAAATACGTGCCGTAAATATATTGAAACATTATTGAAATAAAAACCGTATACTTTTACTTATATACTTTTGGATGCCGTCTAAAAGTTATGATGCGGTTGCCTTTTAAATACCCCACACATGACCTGTACAAGCAGTGCGATATGTTATCAGTACGCAAATTATTTGTATACCAGTGTCTTCGTAGATATCACCGCCATTCTGTGCCTTGTCCTCCTATAAGTAATAAACGAGTAACAAGATTACCTGTACCTAGAGCCCAGACCGTGTTTGCTAGAAGAAGCTACAATTTTTGTGCACCAATGCTTTATAATAAATTATTCAACAAAGTTAAAACAGTCAATAACAGAAATGTTAAAACTATTATTAACCTTAATAATCATGAATTCAAGAAAATATTAAAACAAACTCTTAACGACTTGAATTATAATATAATAGTAATATACTTACATTATAATACTAAGACAATAGATGGGGAAGTCTGAGGCCTGTAGCACAGTTTTTACTAACACAGGCTTCAGAGCTCAAAAATAATTGTAACAATAATGTAATGTATGTTAATAAATTTCATTTCATTTCATTTATTTTAACAGTTAATAATAAGTTTTTAATCTGTGATGTGATGAGATTTTGTTTATTATAAGCTCACAAAAGTTAATTTTTGTTGATATAAGATACAACATAAACAATCACGCCTGTCATCAAGCGGGGTACACAGCGACTAAGTACCGACTTTACGTTCACGCACCTTCCGGACACCCATGGCTCAACTTCAATAAATCGGCAAATTGGTTTATAAACTACCATCAAGGGTGTATCTTGCTGACCCAACTAACTGATTTTATCAAAATTATTATTTATATAATCTAATTTAAATTTCTAATACATTTGTAACAAACCTTTTGACAGACTACTGTAACCTGTATTATATATTATACCTGCAACAGCTCCACCTACCGGGTCCAACTATGCCTATAACCTTCGCGGAAGTGCAAGCAATATGTTAACAAAATTTTACCGCAATCTGATGAACGGTATGGCAGCGCATAAAATACGAACAAACAAAAATAATTTTTTATATATGTATTAGATTAATGTACTAGCTGTGTCCGGCAAGAATTTTATACTATAATAATTAACTGATTTCATCGTAATCTGATGAATGGTATAGTAACGTATACTGGACAAACAAACTTATTTATAAACTAGCTGTTTCCCGCGGCTTCGTCCGCGTGGAATTTATTATGGTTGGATTTCATGGGTGTTGATATTTTGCGAGGAACCCTAATTGTCTTTATAAAAATAAAGTAGCCTATGTTATTTCTCATAACATGAACTATCTGCCAGTGAAGGTTCCGTCAAAATCAGTCCAGCCATTTCGAAGATTAGCCGGAACAAACAGACAGACAGACAGACAAACATATTTGAAATAATACTAGTTTTTACGGAATTTATCGCGTATATTTAACTTTTTAAGTACCCGACGTTTCGAACGCTTTACAGCACTCATGGTCATGGGCGGGACTGAGATATTCAACGTCCATATGTCATAGTTAACCGCGGTTACCATAGATTAAAATTTAACTTTTGTTCCGATCTATACAGTATGAACTTATGGTATCTTGAAGTCTTGCAGTTGTATGCTTGGGTTGGGATTTAATTTTATTTATTATCGGATCCCAAGCAGATGGTAACACCCAGCCATCTTCTCTATTGAAATTAGGATGTTTTTTGATTTCAATAGCTTCGCGAATTATCCTTGGAAGGAATCGGTGTTCTTTACCGAGGATTTGCGGTCTATCAAATCTGGGGCGATCCTGTACGTGTTCACAGACTGCAGACTTCCCGGAGCGTCGATTCTTCACATCAGCTATATGTTCTTTAACGCGGGATTTTATTGATCTTTTAGTTTGTCCTATGTAGGAGAGACCACATTCACAATCAAGCTTGTACACTCCTGCATCTTGCAGAGGGACATTACACTAGACTGATGGTAAATACTGACCATTCTTCTTCAGCGGCTTGAAGTATGTTTTGATGGAAGCATGCTTCAAGATGTAGCCAATCTTGTCAGTGACTCCTCTAACATATGGCAGTACAGCAGGTACACGCTCGACTGTGGCCGGCTTCACTCGTTCACTGTGACGTAGGCGCGGGACTCGAAGCTTTTTGTCATGTAAAACTTGCTTGACATGGTGGAGCTCGGCAGCCAGGTGTTATTTCAATGTGTAGTGTTTCCGTAAATATAAGAAATCATTATGTAAACATATTTGAATATATTTCTTTGTTTTAAGTACCGTATGTACTTGCATATGCATTTAGTAAAAAGCTGTTGTTTTGACATTACTAACAGACACTTCAATTTTATTTATATGTATATAGAAGATATTTTTACTAAGGGTTAAGTTGACCTTTAATATATTAGCTTTTTTGTTTATAGTGTATTGGTGCACAATAAGAATAATATATTGATTGAATTAATAATTAAAATCTCTGTAAAAATGCAAAGACATTCTTTAAGAAAAATCAGGTATATTCCCACTAATATATTGGTTTTGACTTCAAATGCCAATCACTTCTACATGCGGTACATGCTACAAAATTGACAACCGAGGATCTGGCGATCGACTAATGAATGACAATCTATCCAAAAACGCTGAAACCTTATTCCAGGGGTTGGTAAAAAACCCCAAGTGCAAGGAGTAAGAAATTACACGAGAAATACTCTTAAAAAGCCTAGCATCTAGCTTATTTATATCCAGCAGTAGTTTAAAAATGCCATAGGAAGAAGTTAATGAATAGTTGCATATTCGACAATAGCTCTGTCCGATAATAGTCTGCGCGACAAGTGATAGTTTGACCGCGCGGGAATCCTGTTGCGTTCGAAATCTAGACCTTGTGTCACCTTAATACATCGATATGTTATTACAATACAATACGCCATTAAAATGTTTATAACCGACACTGCAGATTCACGTGATAAATTGCACAGTGAAAAGCTGTCGACGCTTTAAAATTTTAAATCAACTCTATTTTTTATAGTGAAGTGATTTATCGTATAAATCTTAACTTTTACATATTATTACTCTGGAGAACAAAAATAGATTCTTTTACTTAATAAAAAAAATATTGCATTAGTTTTTTTCCCGCAATATTTTTTACTTTTCTTTTATAGGACAAGAAGTATCTAAAATATTTTAATGTATTTTTTAGATTGGAAATCAGTTTGAAAAAATAATCTCTTAATAATAAGTACTTTGGTCATTGATATGACGTAAATACCTTTATTTATCTTTTTAAATTAAAATTTCTTTTAACTGGCTTTACGGCTTTGAGTTCTGGCCCTTTGGAGCCTTAAATTTAACACTGCATTTCTTTAGAAAATCTTAACAATCTTTCATATTCTTATCTGGTCTGTAGTAAGTAGTAAATGAAGAGAAAGACGAAAATACAATTATACTTTTATTTACAATTTTTACACATTTTTTACAAAACTTAAATGCGAAAGTTGAATGTTTTAGTAAATGTAATCCAAATATTTAGTCATTTTTTTACAAAATGTTTATGGCAGTGTGGGTTTAATGTTAATTAACGCAGAGTTTCTAAGATATTGAGATTTTTAAAAGAAAGTAACTGCTTAGATATTTTGGAGAATATCAAAGTTGACAAGCACGAAACTCTGGCATTAACAATAAATTGTTGTCTTAAAAATGATAGAGGCGGAAAGAACCGACGGTATGTTCACCAGCAGTACGGGTAGTTGGGGCAAGCTGCGGCGTTGAAGTTCGCTGGGTATTTCGCTGCAACGTTAGCGTTAGGACTGCAAATAGAAAAAAAAGACTATTAGTAGTCGAGTCGAGTAGTCGAGTCGAGTCGAATCGAGTACTCGAGTAAAGAGTAGTAGTAGTAGTAAAGTATTCGTTAAAAACAGGTCAGTCGGTACAACTCGTGGGATCTTAGTTCAATCCCTGACGTAATCAATATTTTTGCATCAAATTATTAGCGATTCGGTATGTGTTCGTTATGTACCCAATTTGGCATTAAAGCTTATCTCCGATCTTGTATTACAAAAGTTTAAAACTGTATACGGGTAAGTGCACATCAGAATTATGCACTACCGCTTTTGACATCTTAATATTATATCCTTCCTAATTAGAAAACAAGGTAGTAGTGCCTAAATGTGTTTTAAACTGCCGCAAACTTATCACAGTCATGTAGTTATTCTTCCTAATCAAATGGTAATAGTCCACTGATGAAGCTGAATCTTTCCCATTATGGGGGAAATTCGCCATATACGCCACCCATTGTGGGCAAATTGGCGATCATAGTACTGAATTCGTACCTTTGACACTCTACACTATACTATATCTTGGTAGGTATTTTAAACGGTAGTTACACCGGCGTCAATTGGTGGCCATCACATGTATTTGCTTTTCCCAAAGTCGATTCTTACGATATTATTATACGACACATTGACCGGTATAGAATGTCTATAGGCATTAAGTGCACATTATGAGGCAATACAATAAAAAAAGATATAATATACGTTAATGTAAAGGATTAAGAAAGGAACGATTCGGTGGTTTGGTCATGTGGAAAGAATGAATGAGGAAAGAGTGACAAAGAAAATTTATGTTGCAGAAGTGAATGGCAGAGTCGAAAAGGGACGTCCTAGGCGAAAATTTATCGACCGAATTAGCGGTGTATTGAAAACGGACCAAATTAGGAGTACCGTTAACCGACGAGCATGTATGCGTATGTATATGGATGTGAAGGAGGCGATAGAGGTGTGTCAGAATCGTGCGAAAAGGAAGTCTGTAGTCTCTGCCTACCCCTCTGGGTGACAGGCGTGAGTGTTTATGTTATGTACGTATGTTATACGTTAAAATATACAATACTTACTCAGCTGGAGCTACAGGCAGGATGGAGGGGTTGTATACCCATTCAGGGATGGGCATACCCTCGGGAGTGAACCGGGTGAAGGCATTGGTGTCACAGTAGGGGTAGTTGGGACATACTGCTGGATGGAGGCCGGCGGGGTACTCGCGAGCCAGCGCTACCGCCGCGACCACGCACAGAATGAACTGCAACAGATAAAAAATATTTTGTGATCATTTTATATTATGGTTTGTATATTTAAGTAATTTATTAATTTAATAGTTTTTTTTTAAATTAAAATTAAAGTAACAAGTGCACTAAAGGTCCATCTTATTTCGCTTATTACTAAGTGTTTACTTCCCCTGGACTCTTGCAACTAACTTTAAACGAAGTAGGCTACAGATGCGTTGTGCCGCTAAGACTAAGACAGAATACTTTTCAGTCTATTATCCTGGCCATGTATACCCTTAAGACCAAAACACAGTAGTGCACGTACTGCTGATTGGCGGCACAAATGGCTAAGATTGTGGTATCTAAGGTAAGTGGTATATGTCAGAGGCAGAAAACTGCCTAGGGGACCGTCAGACTTATCCGTCTGACTGGGGATCGTCGGACTTCTATAAAAGAAATAGTCTATTAAATAGAGTATGATAAAGGTTTTGGATTTTTACTAAGAAATTGTACAATAACTTAAAGTGCAAATTACTCTGTGATATGCCCCATACTGTCAAAATAACTAAACGAAAAGTCATTATATTGGATATGTGTAATTATTGCTATAGTTGGTTGTGTTATGCTAAAAACTAATTGCTAGTTCTTAGCGTAATACAAATTTTCATTGGAAAACTATTACTGCAACAAAATAAAGTGCACCGATTTGTAATACAGTGTGCATGCTGTCATGCACCATTTGATTTGATCTTGTAATATGAAACTTAGATTCGCTAAGGGCTCGAATAGAACACTTTCAAATTCGACGTGCGAGACATAACTAAATATTGAAAAAAATATAACGATTTTGTTTTTGAAAAATATTACACGTTTTACTTAAGAAAACACAATTTCATTTACACATTATTTAAAATAAAATTTGTGTTATGCCTTTATCAAACGTAAATTATTAAAGGCGCTAAATTGCTTTAATTATTATAAAATTATATAATATTTTATAATTACGCTAGTTAAATCTAAAACTGAAACTACTTTTATTATGTTGACTAATTTGAAGTTTAAAAAAAAAGGTTATTGGTAAGATACTCGTACACACAAAATTAAACAATTATAATTTAAAAGGCTTAGTGTTTCTTGTATAACACATTATTAATTTTCATTAAGCATTATAATTATAGGAATTTGAAATGCGTTTGCCATTGTCAAACCTTCAAAATTTCCTCGTGGGCACTAGAACATAGCCCTTTCGGCTTTCAAGTGGGCGCAAGGTTGCGTACAACCAGCGTTCGCGTGCGGTATGAATGCGTAATGCGATCTGATACATCTTAATTACATTTGAGCAATAAATAACATACATTTATTCATTACTTATATGTCACTAAGTATAACTCGCATTCCATGTATTTTAAAATTTAATGCTTTATTCAGTTTGCTTTCAAAGTTTGTTTACAAATTTGAATTTAAAAAACTTTTTTTTTTAGAGCAAGAACGCGAATAATTATTTATTTGTCATTTTTAATAAATATAATGTTACGTACTAGAAATAAGCTAAACTCACTGAAGTAGGTGGATTATTTTTGATACAGGATGCGTTTTATTATTAAAACGCCGCTAAAAGTGGAATTATATATTTAAAATAAAACAAATTTAATGTTACTTCGAAATTAATGATGTAAATCTGGGCACAACTATTTAGTGATTATACTATTATTAATTTGTTTTATGAATACAAAAATATATTCAATAAACTTTAACTTCTTGGCCCCATATCATTTATGTCCTTCTAAAGTTTTTAAATTAAATAATTTTAATAAAATACGAAAAATATTAATTTAATTACATGTGTTTCTATATTTATAATTATACATTTTAATATTTATAACTATGTTAACCAAAACTGTTGCGATACTATGAAACTGAAACATCTTGGACTTTGCTTCGTTACGTTCAAATAGTAATGAGTAGAAGAATATTCGTACTCACCAGTTTAGCGTACATGTTGTATGTGTTTGTATCCTCTCGACTTTACAGTGAGACTGATGCATTGTCCATTGTCGCGCACTATTTTATACACGCTGAGCAGGAGTGGATTTTCTGACGTATACAACCATACATACATACGTACGTACAAGTGTAGATTCTGCAGGGTAAGCAGGATATTTTGAGTTGATCATTCAATTATGAGCCCTATAATATTTTGATTTTAATGTTTTATTTAGCTTTACTTAGGCAATAGAATTCGGAGTATGTAGATTTTATATTTAGAATTATATTATGGTGCATACCTTAAGTAGCGTGGAGAAGGGTTTGATGATATCAATAAAAGGGTATAGTTTCTTTTTGATCATTAAGGTTACATTTAATTAGCATATAAACTTTTCCTTGCAATTCTTTACTAACTAAGGCAAATCAACATAAACTAAGTGGATTATTATTCGTAGTGCTGTTAATATTGAAAGAGTATTAAATGAACCCGATCACGCTATTTTGTTCTACAGGTAATATAAAAGTTTACGATTACCTATAACCGCAAAAATTATGGCAATCTACAAATTTGGGGTCAACGTATACAACTTTGCAAGTGGCCAACAGGGATGCAGTCTAAAAAACTTCTGAAGGTCAGTTATGAGAAAAAGGCCGTTTTCAACTACGGCGATAATTTGTTTACACTTTCGGAAGCTATCAACCACGCAGGATATGTGTACGTTATTAGGTTACCATTACATGTAGTTAGTAGTCGCCTGCGCTTGTCATTTTTTTGTCTAGCATCTGTCTGTTGTTGAAGCTATGATTGGCATAATGCTAACCTAACTTTATGTTAACAGTACGGTCTGCGCATTAAAAAAAACCTTGAATTTAAGTCATTTAACTACTTATATAAACCATTCCTAGAAAAATAATATTAAGCTTAAATGCAGTGTTCTATGCGGATGTAAGATATAAAAGAGAATTTGTATTATTTTTAATCAGAAAAATATTTTTTCTGCAATGTTTAAACTGCAGATTAGTATATTTAAAAAATGCGAGTGAACGAAAGTATACGGACTCTAAAGATATTCGTAGATCCTGTATTATTATGACCAGCCTAAATAGTCCAGTTCTGGACGTAGGTCTCTCAAGGCCCGTGTTAGGATGTCACCGTAAATGTGCAGTTTAAGAAGCTGATTACCGATCTCGGGACCATACTACGTGTTGCATGTTCGTCGTTGTCCAGCGCCATAATCAAAAACCGTTTTTATTCATTAATCGAAATTACTTGATATTTGAATTTTAAGCGTATGTTAATAGGCGTAATTAAAGTAATGGAAAGTATTTAACTCCAATTTCCTATTTTTTATTGTTAATGAAAACTTTGAAACAATATTTTTTTAATTTTAATATGAAGGGAATACATTTTGAGTATTCTAAAAAAACTGTCATAGCGTGTATTTGTAGGATCCGGTTAAGATGTTTAATCGTAAAAATAGGGGCAATGCTGTTGTGGCAGCACGCCCACGACAGTTATTGGAAGGCGGATTCGAATTCACGACTTTAAATTCACAGTCCATATCCATGATTCTAATTTTCAATTTGGGTATATCTTGACGCTCTAGTCAATTATTGGCTTTTAAGAGTTGCCAAAACAAATATTTTTACAGAAATTGTATTATAATTTGAAGTTATTATAGTCAGAAACATCTTAGTTGTATATTCTTAAATACTAAAAACCTACTCGTAAAGTCGCTCAAGTTTTAAGACACTACTAAAGGTAGAAAATTACAAAAGTAGAAACGAACGAACTAATATGTGTAGAAAATTAAAACAAGTAGAAGCTTTTATTGAATTAACGTGACCAACGAGCTCACAGTCCATGAAATGGTAAGTGTATGTTGTTGTCCATAGGTATCTACATCTATACTTGATTAAGTAACAAAACACAGACGTGTTGTTTCCTTTGAGGAAACGAAATGCTTCCTTTCCATTAAAAGATGAAGTTTTCTTACTCGCGCAACTTCCATGCAAAATCGACTACCACCAGCGATTTTTCCGTACCGATACAACTTAGTCACCTTCAAGAAAAGAGCGTAATTTTATTTAAAGGCTGGTAAAGCATCTGCAATACCCCTGGTGTTGCAGTTGTTTAAAGGCGGCGGTAGTCACTTACAATCAGGTGAGCCTCATACTCGTTTGGCTCCTCTCACATAAAAAAATGATGAAGCTTCTCTTGTATTCTATAACAGAGTCGAGCTGACCCCTTCGTACTTTAACCATATGACATAGATACAGTGTGGCTTGACCGTGTAAATCATTAACGATGGTGAACGTGATAAATTAGGGCTTATTCTTTTTCTTCTTCATCAGAGTGTGAAAATCATTGCTGGACTGGGTCTTTCCTGTTATTCGGCGAGATTATATGGAAAATTAGCCACTTACTAACTAACTTAACTATAGTTAATAGCTAATTCTCCGTATAATATCCGCTAGCAGGTGGGTTGACGATTGCAGGTGCTAGATGTATCGCAACTTTGACGTCTAAGTCTGGGTGTTTTACTTCTGAAGTGAAGTAGATCGGTATAACCTCATTTATTGGAAGCCATGATATCTTTCTAGTATTTTTAGTCACCTCTTACGACATGCACGTCATAATGGGGTGATGGAAACTTAGACTAATAATTTGTAAAAAGGAGATCGTGTCGGGTCTGAGCCGAGTGTCGGCCGTATTACGGTCAACAAATATTACATATATTTTCTATGGCCACACTCACGCTATACCGAGCGGCAACCGAGTAACGGCCGAGCAACGGACAACGCTCGGCAACAACTCGGTCCCAGCGTGTAGCTGAAGATTTATCAGATTCTTTATCGTCCAGAGCGATCGCAATAGTAGCTAATTCCAGATCGTCAAACTTCAACATCTGCCTGCTGACTGCCTGACTGCAATCGTCTAGTTATGACACTATTTTTGCTCGGACGAGTATACTGCATCACGGCGGAACGGTAGTTGCTCGGTCGAGGCCCGTTTTTGTAATTGCAGGCACGGGACCGGCTCGGTGACCGTGCTACGGCGGACACTCGGCTCGGACCTTTGCCAGAAGTGACAGCGCATCTATAGCTTTCTTTGTTTGAAGTTGGCTGCAGATTTCTACGGACTACATCAGCCACTCACCATCAGGTGTATTATAAGTTTATTTGTCAATTCAGTTGTATGAAAAAAATCAATGCTCACTAAGCTGCAGTGATTTCTATCGTTTAATATATTATAAAAGAAAAAAAAACTGACTTGAATTTGACTGCCTTGTTAGTCTAATGGTTGTGTTGGTGTAGTAGTGCGACTGCTGACCTTGAGGTCCGCCGGGTTATTTCCCGGGTCGGGCCAAAAATCAATTATTGAGTTTTTCAAGAAATTCTCATTAGCTGCCCGAAGTCAGGAAGTTGGTGGTGTCTCACCCCCAAGTATTTGAAAGCACGTAAAGCCCTTGGTACTGTGCCTGATCTCTCTCCGGTCGTGTCGGTTTACCACCCCATTATGAGAGTGAGGGAATAGAAAGTGCACCTGTGCTTGCGCATACACTTGGGCACTATAATCCTGTTCTGCGTCGATGGCTAGGCTGGCTGCCGTGACTGAAATTTGGTCTGGAGGACATTATAAAAGAAAAGCTGACGATATATTATTAACTTTTTGTTGTGTCGAGGTGTAGTCTATGGCAATTTATGGGGAAGCGAATGTGTGCACTTTGACAGGCTGTGTGTTGGCCTGAGTCGTGATGTGGTACAATGCAGTCAGTTATATTGATAATATGGCTTCTTCTCTTTTGTCACCAGCCTGCAAAGTCCACTGCTGCATAGGGTCTCCCGTTGTAGAAACGATTTGTCATAATCTATAACATAGCGTAGCCCCGCCCTTTATATCCCTTATATAATGTGTAAAAAAGGTTAAATAAATAAACAATAGTACTAATGATTTCTTATATTTACGCGAATAATAGTCATGAAATAAAACTAATTTTACACATTTTATCGCCTTGAAGAAGTTAATTGTAGTTCGAGCTTATTATGACATCGGGACGTTGAAAACCTCCGTCCCTGCAGTGACCATGCTGTAAAGTAAAGCATTCGAAAGGTCAGGAATTAAAAATAAAATCAGTTATTAAATTAAACGTGATAAAATCCTTAAAAAAGAAATCAATGAACTCAGAACTATACGTATTTTTTTTATAGAATAAGGGTGATAAACTAGCACACCGTCCAGCTGATGTTAAGGTGATGCTGTGGGTCATAAACATCTACATTCATCTTCAAATAAGAATCGAAATACAGATGCGTTGCCATCTGGTTACGCTGGTATTCTGTGGTCATGCCCCGGTCATGCCGAAAGATAATATAGCTGCAGTATGACTCTACCACGTAAATAGTCTTTTGAAGAACATGCTCTATCAGACCATCTTACAGAAAGAAAGTTAAAACATTTGATCTCTATTCATATACGGCAAGGAAACACAGCAAATCCTATTCATTCACTTTGTGTGATAAAAATAACAAAAAATAAATGAATAACATTATTGAATTGTAATTTATTCTATTAAAATCAATTTTTACGCTGTGTGGTATTATCATTATTCAAACGCAGAAAGGCAATACCTAAGTTCGTTATTACATCTATATTTAAGAGATAGGGCAAAGCTATCGATACCATTTTTTTATAGGATAAGGATGACCAACGAGCTCACAGTTCACCTGATGGTAAGTGGATACTGTGACCCTTAGACAACTCATTGCAGATGCGTTGTCACCCCCGAAGGCTAAGATAGAATGCCTCGTTTCCAGTAATAAGGGTCGCCGTTTCTTTTCACTCACCATATGTAACACAGCAGCATTAAGCTGCTATTTTACGTCAGTATTCTGTAAAAGCGTGGTCCTACCCCGACCGAGTCGATCCATTCGTACAAAAATAATATAGCTGCAGCACGGGTCTATCATGTAAGCAATATGTCCCATATTTACAAAGTACAACTATGAGA